AATCTCGCCGATTTTTATTCCAGAATATTGTGATTTATTGAAAACGCAAACGAGACGACGCGCATCGAATGGATTAACATTTCGGATCTTATAGCTTGTTCTATCCGGCGTTGGCCTATACTCGGCATAACAATGCGAGTGTTGCGTGGAAACGAGGTTAAAGAAAGGAGAATGCAAGTCGAATACCGACGGAACACTGCCGTATGCAAGTCGGATACCGACGGAACACTGCCGTATGCAAACGCTTCTTTTCCTAGCAAACGTCGAAAAAAGTTTCTGTTGACAGTGTTTAGGAGAGACGATGTTTTCAGTCTCGTGTAACAGGTTCGATACTTTGAAAATGAATCGTACGTCATGTATCACGGTATCTGAATAAAATACAGAGTAAAAGTGCCCTTGAACCGATTTTACCTGGCAATGCATCATTCGATAGCTTACCAAAAGAAAACATCGTACACTAACAGGGGGAAGGCAAGGCCTTCGGGTCACCGATTTAGATAAAATTTTGAACATTTATAGAGCTTGTTCTCCTATTCACGAATATATACCATTATAGGGGCAGATACTCAATAGTTTTTAAAATATTTGCAATTGAAATTTTCTTATTCCCATAAGAAGAAAAGTATAAGTTCGATATGACGCAAACAGTAACTGCCGTTGTAGCGCCTTGATAGCAAGTTAAACTTGTAATCAGGTGACTAGAGTTCGATTCCTCTTTTATATTTAATTATATTAAAATATCATGTTTAAAAATAAAAAATGAGCAGTGTGCAATCTTGACACGTCTTGTCACGACTTGTCACAACATGTACGTGTTGTCACGACTTGTCTCGACTTGTCACGTGTTGTCACGTGTTGTCACGTCTTGTCACGTCGTGAAGAATGTCTCTTGCAGAAATTCGTAAATAAAATAAAGGTGTTTTGAAACACCTTGTGTTTCAAAATTGTATTTTGAAAAAGAAATTGCGGATGTAGGATAAACTATGAGTAAAAATTTTTCTGTTTTGTTATTGCATGTTAATAAAACAGTTGGATGAAAAGAGTATCAGTAAAATCGCAAGGTATCGTGAAGTTTCTGTAGAATTAATTAACCTTAAATAGTTTAAATTATGAGGGTACTACAATACACTTGAATCAAAAAATTTTAAATCATATTATGCATTATTTTCGTAGAGAAATTAAGCAAGTGAAAGATTATTATGAAAAACTACGGAACGCTAAAGAATATCTGCAGATGGTAAAATATTACGACGTTAATCATTTCACCACATACTAGATGTAGAATGACCAACAACCGGTTATATATGAGAAATAAAATTCTACAGATGCACTTCCAATTTACACAAAAAGAACATTAGTTTTCAAATGTTAAATAAAAGATATAAACAATATGTAACTAATCTACTATAGGCAATTGTTAATGCAATGCGAAATTAATAAATTGGGCTATATTATTAAAAGCATACAATAATTTTGTTTAAGACTTCCAATAATTATAAACAATCATCTAAATTGTTATTTCACAAGAAACACTAATTATCCTATAATTAAATTTCTCCAAAATGAACCAGAAAATTCATTTTACTATTTACAGTATTAACAATGTTAAATCAATTATAAATCGATTATAAGAATCAATTAAATGTAATAAGAATGACGGGAATACGTAAAAAAATGAGTTAAACAAGAAAGAAATAGGGGTAGACAGAAATACCAATTGTGCTGTGTGTTAGACAAGGATGATAATAGGGATAGGCAAGGATAGAGAATTTTTTAAAGGTGAAACTAACGCCATCTCGTGTCTGGCTGCGCGAACTAACGACTCGTTACTAGGAACACAGAATATAAACAGAGGTATTAGACAAAGAACGCACTAGTGTGCAAGAAGGACAGAGAGCAAACGCTTCCTATTGGCTGGCGGGCCGCCATGCTTCACCTATCAGGCCCTAAATAAAATCGGCCAGGGAAAAATCATTAATAACTCAATAATTACAATGATTCTGTAAACTTTTAGAATTGAAGAATGAAGTGTGGACCTTCAGCAACTTTCCCATATAGATTTTAATGCACTAGACACCTTCCATAATTAGTTATTAACAATTTTAGTACGTGATGTCAGGAACGATACCGCATACCGTCAAGTACCTTTACGGTTTTTCAATAATTTCATAGCTTTCTACTAAAGTCTCGTGCAACTAACTATACGCATCTGAAAGGCAACTCCTTTAGCTGCATTCTCATATAATTTTTATTAACATGTCTCTTGTAATTTAGAAGTTATTAAACATTACATGGGAGAGTCTCTTATTCGTCGTACTCGAGTATAGTCAACTCTTATAAACAATTGTTAATATCTAATAAAGTACATGAGGTACGCATGTAAAAATTATTGGAGAATCTAGAAAAAGGTCTGTCCTATATTCTACATATTGAAAGTTCACAATTAAACATTCGTATTCGTGAAAATGACGAAAATCCTTTACGCTTGACTGCGACGAGTGTATTACTCACTCAAATAATGTTTAATATCTCGCGAAGTACAACGAATATGTTAATAAAAATATGACGAGAAACTAGGTAAAGGAATGGCCTTTCAAACGCATGTATAAAAGTTCATAAATTATTTGTGTAAAGCTAGGAAATTACTGAAAAACCAGAAGCGTGTGCGGTATCGCTGCCGACACTCCGCGCAAAATTGTTAATAACTAATTATCGAATGTATTTAAGACAATGAAATCTATATATGAAAGTTGCTAAAGGTCCACACTTCATTCTTCAATTCTAAAAGTTCACAAAATCATCCTAATTATTGATTTATTAATGATTTTTCCCTGACCGACTTGATTAGCCCGTGCGAGACGGAGCATGGCGGCCCGCCAGCCAATAGGAAGCGTTTTCTCTCTGTCCTTCTCGCACACTAGTGCTATCCTTGTCTAATACCTCTGTTTAGAACCTCTATTAGAAAGTCGTAGTTCATGTTACCAAATATGAGATGGCGTTAGTCTCGCACACCATTTTATTTCCGTCCTTATCTATCCCTATTGCTCTCCTTATCTAACACACGGGACTATTGCTACCCTTATCTGTTCCTAACCCTTTCCTTGTCCAACTCGTTTCTTTAGTGCTATCCCTCTCTACCGCTATTCCTTTCCTTGTCTTACTCATTTCTCTATTGCTAAATACACATAAATAAACAATTTTCTTTTTACAATATGATTGTCTTTGCACAATTAAGTGCATATACACAAATTTTTTAAATTGTGTTTTATCAATATTATCAGTATTATCATATCATGTTTTTTCTTGAATTACAAAAATATTATGTATTATATCAAATAATGAAAGATGACATTATCCAAGTAACTTATCAAAATGATAATCCCAATCTTCTGTGAGATTAATATTTGTTTGATTTTGTTCTGAAATTGCAAGGAACTTATTCCATATATCGGGTCCAAAAGTAGCTAGCAAAATATTGGTTTCACAACTATACTTACCATGTATGTATTTCTATTCCATCTATTCTGTCATATCAAGAAGGTTTACAGACAATTCTTCTAGAAGAAGATCAAAATTTTGACAAACTGTTTGAAATGGTACAAGAACTAAACTGATAAGTTTGCGTATGCCTGTTTTAATCATCTCTGCTGTAGGCAGATTTTTATACCTTTCTGGTATATTTTCCAACTTAATGATATTTTGAGGATTATTAAGAAGCAGTTCATGTTGTTGACTAGTTAAAATTTTTCTTGTAGCAGATTTTCCTGGTAAATGGACTACTACATCATTTGAAACAGACTTGAGTTTATGATTTATGTTGGTGTTATTTCAAGATTTTCAGAAGCTACTTTCTTCATTTTATTTCATAATTCGGTAGATTTTATTTTTTCTTTGCTAGGAAAATGATTATGTTTTGTTACGGATATTACTTGCATGTTATCAGCATATGTTATTGCAGCTCTATGACATAACATCTTCCTTACACAATTCCAAAACATTTTTCCCGCTTTGTTACTGTTTACAGAATTTACGAAAAATATACGATAAAGAAAAAAATGTATTGTTATTAGGAAAAATTAACAAATAAAATATTTGTGCAGTAGATAAAACATTTCAATGATGACACAGTATTTTTGAAAGTTGAAAAGTGTATTTATTTTTTAAAAATAGCGCTAATACAAATTGTCTACAAAGGTTGCGACGTTTCGCAAACACACCGCATTTACAACTGATTAATGTTTGATAATCAAACAAGATTCTTTATGTACGACAGAACATGTTTACCGACATAGAAAAAAAATTATACCACAAACGAGGTGCAGACTATACTAACAAGTCTGTGATTATACTGACAAGTGGTACTGCCCTCTTTAACGTAACAGAAAGTACTACGTAGTAGTCAGACTATGTAGTATGTCGATTATCTCTGTGATATTGTTTAAAAACAGACAACTGTCAGTTTGATTTTGATAAAAGGAAACCATAACACATTTCAATCTGCTTGTCACTTCTGTGAATTCGGAGAAATAAATAAGTGAAAGGTGCTAGGCAATATGTATAATTCATACATTTTTCAAATGTTATGATGGAGTTTATTGACAAGGGGATTCACCATTAATACATTACGATTTCTAGATGCAATGTCGTTAATTAGCGTTCATATCTATCATTACTTTACGCATACCTTCGAAAGCTACTTAATAAAATAAAAAGCCTGTGTACAATTACCAACAAAACGCATAATAATTTTAAAGTGATAAAATGTGTTAAAACTTAATCTAATTTGGACATCTTACTGTGATAATTATTAACCTAATTATTGATACAATTTTTTTTTAAGTCATATGGAATGACTTTTTCTTCGAAATTCAAAGAAATAAAAATAAATTCTGTTTTGTATATATTTTGTGTGCATGTTACGTAAAATGACGAAAATGCAATTGCAGTAACTGTCAAATTGAGAAATTGTATTTTCACTTTTGCTAATTATATTGCTGTACTGTGAATAACATGGAACAATCAGAAAATTTAGATAATGATAAATTTAGCAATTACTATGCACTATTGGTCGCGTTTAAAACTATGAATGAACGTTGTCAACAATTAGAAGCAAGATTATCTACTGTTGAAGAAGAAAATATGTGTTTAAGACTGGAAGTTGGAAAGTATGAGTCTGCAGCCATTACAAAACCTAATGATAATAATGAGGAAACAATTGTACAAACCTTAAAGGTATTCGTATAATATGTGAGCTAATGTGTAAGATATTTCTGCTTTACATTTTAATGCGTTATGCTTTAATATAGTTTGGTTGTCAGGAAAAAATAGAAGAGCTTAGAAAACAGAAATCTCAGCTTACTCATCAAGTTTTTATGGTAGCAGGAGAAAATCGTCAGTTATGGAAGAGATTAACTAAATTAACAAGAACAAATAAATCTTTAGGAAGTCAATTGACAAAAATCTCTGCTACACTTAAACAACATTCTGCAGCACAATCATCAGATATTACGTCCTATAGTCTTTGTGATATTTCTAACTCTACTAAAGAAGATAATACTGAGCAAAATGCATTAACTGTATATAACGGTTTGTATTTTAATGTATGTGATTTATAATTCAATTGTGTATATCAAATTACATGGTTTTACATGTATTTTAATTCAGGTAAAAAGGAACAAAGTTTAGAGGAAATATCACTTAAACTTATGAAGAGTATTATGTTAGAAAAATCTGATCTTGAACAGCAGTACGCAGAGGTAAATAAATCATAAGATAATAAAGTTGTTATTTATAAATTGCAACTATTTATATTTGACAATTCGTGTAGATGGTTGAATTACAAAATAGCACAGAAATGGACTTACGAAATATTGGCTTCACTTATCCAGAAGATTCTGATACAGATTTAGAGTTGTTAAAACAACATGATATTAGATTGTCACAAATGAAAAATACTTTATTAGCACAACAGACTAAATTAAAAAGGGCGCTACAGAATTTTAAGAAAAAGAAAGAAGGTATAAATGAGCAATATTCAATGAGTATAATCATATTAAAAAAATCTAACTTCAAGTACCATTTCATAGGATTAATGTGTAATAACTGTCGCATGAATGCAAATAAAAAGTTGTGTCAAGCAAGTACACAATTTAGTTTCAATGAGAGTATTAAGGAACATGGTGCAACTCAAACCAGTCTTCAAACTCCAAGTCTATCATTGGACAAATGTTCCAATTCAACAGATAATATAGACCAAGACAATAAAATTTGTCCACTATGTGGATTGTTTTATGGAAAAACTATTTCATTTTCAGAATTTCACGAACATGTTTTGGATCATTTTAATAAAGTAGATGGTTTTGACATGTGAATATGACCTTTGATTTTTATAGAAACTTTTATACATTATTGTGTTATTTTACAGACAGAGAGTAAATATAAATACTACATACATTTTTTGAAAGTCTGTTAATCTTAATAGGATTAGAAGTGTTTTGATTATTGAATTTTATAAATTGTTCATTATAAATCATGTATAAAAATAATATAACGACTTATTACACAAATAGTGAAGAATATGATTATTGTCAATATTGCACTTATTTTTATGTTCATAAATTACAAAGAAAAGATTTAAAATATAAAAATGTTTTTGAAAATTTGTTTAATATTTTTCATTTTCATTTCGCCTTTTAAAATGATTTAACATAAATAATAGCGTACTATACACTGTAATAATTACTTAATCATTTTTTATATTTATTGAAGAACTATCTTCAGGTTTTTCATCTTGTAAGTCAGCTGAGTCTTGTGTTGTTGGTTGAAGTAAATTCTGGTGGAACCACTCAGGTCTTTTTTTGGGCAATTCTACAATTCTTTGGTTCTATATGGAAATGTAATTGTATATAATGTTAATGACATCATAAAGATTTCACAGTATGTATATATTATAAATTCTGGTAACATGTGTATATATTATAATTATATATATGTACATAAATTAAATACCTTCCAAAACTTATCTTGCAGTTCTTCTTTTTCTCCTTCGTATAACACTATAACATCTTGTTCTATAGGTTTTAATCCCAATGACTTTTTTATAGCTTCTTGCATTATCTGTGTTTCTTTTTTGACTATTTCATAGCAATATCCTATGAAAATTTGAACAAATGAAAAGTGTCATAAGGTAAATACATAACGTTATAATTTGAAAAAAATATCTTACCACATAATGTATTAGCTTCATGATTATGACCACACTTTCTGCACATTAAAATATTAGTTTTTGGAACAGGGGGCTTCCAATGAAGTTCAGGAATACCAAATCTTCTACAAAGACGCTTTTCTAGACTTCGTCGTTTCTTAGGTACAGCCCATAAAAATGCATCATTTAAAATATCCTTTAATGATTGTGCAGGAAAAGTTTTGGGTTGGACTTGGTTTATAGCATTACAACCAATTGCACATAAATTTCCTAGATATAATGTAAATAATATATGATAATGATAGTAAAATATAATAATTTAACTAACTGTAAACAATTCAGATTCGTAACACTTTGAAGAGGTTAAGAACTAGTAAGTATGAAAACATTTAATTTCTTATTGTATTATACAATTGCATTTCTCGAATAAAGAAAATACTTGTCTAGTTACCTGGTGGCAGACTACGACCTAAAATAATATCAATTGCTTGATCAAATGTTTGAAATGCACGATATAACCTACTAAAAACACTGTTCGCCATGTTTAATGTAAACCATAGAATATCAAAATTACTATAGATTGAAACAAGGATGACGAAAGGATTTTAAGGTTAATTCTCGTAATGTAAAAATTGATAAAGTTCATTATTATTTATTTGAATTCCATTTACATATAATCTTGCTTCGTTAAAATTTCGTTAAAACTACTGGGATAGATTTCCACAAAAAATACTTTGATTCATAAAAAATACTGCAAATTATTGGAAAAACTGTACAACAAATATTTATTAGTAGCTACTATGCAAAGTAATCATTAAATAATTTATAGCTAAAAATTTGAATGTTAGAAATACTATTGCAGATTTGAAATAAAGAGAGGTCGCTAATAGAGTTTCAATTTGACATTCTTTTGAAAGGTTATCAATGCTGTCTTCAAGAGTACTCAATGATCAAAATTATTCACGATTTGTAGTACTGTTCTGATTAATGCCGCGTACAGCAGGTGTATTTACAAGTGGGGAAGGGAAAGGGAAAAGTGGGTGGGGAAGTGATTTTGAAGTGTCGGTGGGGACTAATAGAACTCGAAAGTCTTCATGAGTCGTGTGACTCGGCTCACTACAGTTTTCGCTATGGCGTGTATAGGGTCGAGTAGGCTCTGTGCTCGTGCAGAGAAATTGTGCCAGTTTGGACATTTCGCCCAATTACGAAGGAAAGTTTCGACGACATGTGTCACGTCACGACCCAGAATCGAACATCCGACCAGTGTTTTGGTTCAACATTGTCAGGTATGTTAATTTTACTTCTTGATACCGTTTGGTGTGAGAAAAATATTATCTATAATCAACATAGTTGCAACACAATTCTAAGCTATCTGTATGATTGCATAGTATCAGTATTTTATAGTATACGCATGAAGTCCCTCTGTTTCATTCATTTTCAGTCATATATCACGAGTAATTTCTCTGTTATTACTGACATAACCTGGTTTCGTTTCAAACATAAAAGTCTTGTTCCGGTATTATATTTAACGTTCTCTAGGTTATTACATTAATTCTGGCAAATACTCAAGAGGAAAGATGCACATTAATAGCTAGTATTGACAAATAACACGAAATGAAGAATTGCAGTTAATATTCTGGGTTTCGTAAATTACATAATGTCTAGCACGATGTGTCGGTAAATCATGTTTCTTTACCAAGAAATTTAAGTCTGAATTATCGCGAAATAAATAAATGCTTTTCATCTTTACATTAAAACTTTTGCGTTGTAAATGTAAATTCATGAAACGAAAAGTAAAACGTTTGTAATATTACGAACAAAATTCGCAAGACCACGTTTTTATCCACATGAGCTGTCAGATGTTTCTAGCAGACGACCTAGCTGGCGTCTGCTACTGACGTTGGTCACATTGCAACTATCAAACAATATCGCGTTGAAAAAACGTTAACAATTCCTAACGAGAATCTCACGAAAAATCATACTTTCAATTATAAAGCAATATTTTTACCACAATATCGTCTAATTTTGTTTACAATATTTCGTAAACTTGGTTTTGACTGTACCAGCGGTGCTCGATCGTTAAACGCATGCGCAGCAGGATAAATTTGAATTTGTTCTGTGCACGTCGCGCAATGCAAACACTTAAAACTGATATATTAACGTAACAAAGATACAAATAAAAAATTATGCAACATTAACAAAGACGCTGATAATAATCCAACGTTAGAAGCACACTAGATATGTACATTATTCTACATTACAACGTTAATTTCTCACACAAACAATTTCTAATTCTACTTCAATTTCTAAGCACCCTAGCGATCTCTAACGAAAGTTTTCCATAAATCGTTTCGCGAACGGTAAAATGAATTGCACGACTTTCTCTGCTCGAAAGTGACACAGAGACCGGATTTTGAAATCTCTTTCAATAGCTCGCAAATCGAAGAGACGAGTTCGGCCCGTCGATCACTACTATAGTTCGTCCACGCTTATTACGCAAGTCTTAGGTAAACGATGTCTCGTTGTTCAGCCGTTTTTCACATAGAAGAATCGTTTCTTCTATTTCGTGGTCCATCGATGGTCAATATTATCGAAATAAGTGGGAACCGGTCACGATGACGCCGGGACGAATTTCAAGTCTCGCTTCTCGTAAGTAGGCTAACTGGCCCGTGAGATATCTTTCTTCGAGCATGGTTAACCCATGGAATCCACGCTCTTGACTTTCTCGGCTTGTTCAGCTGTATTCTGCGCGTATAAATGCCTGCTCTTACTAACTGATTCACCAACCGATGTTTTACGCTTCTTCTAGACAAACAAGATGCTTTTCAGAATTTCACAAAATTTCGAGTACTCTGTAATTCAATCGCTTTTTTATTTACACAGTTATGATGTATTATTCATTTCAGTAAATACTCGTTGCAACGATTTTATTCTTTAACAGGTTATATAGTCTTGGATACTTTTTTCTTTTTTTACTAATATTTCAATTATTCATATATTTGCTCCTATCGTTTTATTACTGAACTGAACAAAAACTGTCTGTGTAGTGAGTCTCAGTTTTACACAAACGTTAAAAAGTTATTCATACGAAAATTCAAAAGGCAGTCAAAATAACTGTTGTGCAATTTCCCATAAAAGTGATTTAAATTTAGAATCGTACATTTTCTGATATTTTGCACGAAAAATTTCCTCTCCTCGTTTCTCGTATTGTTTCAAGAACCAGTTCGCTTCGGCAGAAAGACATATTCAGACTGAACGAATCGGGAAAGAAATTGATTTCGAACTTTTCGTCTATAGTGTCTGTGTTGCTTTGTTAATAGAAATGGTATAGTTCGAAGGGATTCTGTTAATGCAAATGTAAGGTCATTAACACCGGTTCAATTTGCAAATCTCGTTTCCCAATCGTCGTCACTCTCCATATCTTGCGTACAATAAGGGAGATTTCCTTCATTGACGCACGGCGTCTGTGCTTTTGGCATTCTGTTCTCGTGAACGTTGCACGTGTGTACGCACGCACAGGAATGCATGAATAGTTTTACAATGCGATTGTTGTTAAATTACTGCGCACTGCATTCGATGAGACAGCCCATAAATTAACATAGAAAACCAGCGTCGGCCTTTTTGAACCATTCGGCCTAATTTCCTTCGAGATATCGTTAATCACACCGTAATCAATTATTTTTCACACGAAACACAACTGTCCGTCGATGTTTCCCAAAGTCGGTTCCACGAACAAATTTTCTGGTTCCTCGAGATAAGGTGTCTTTTAACGAAATTCGAGGAAAATCTATTTTAGAAACAATTTTCGTTTCATTTTTACGGTGTCCGCGATTTTTGGAAGATCGTAGAAGGCCTCTCTGGGAAAATAAGTTTGGGAGCCACTGGTCTGTATCGTTATATTGGGTAGAATTCATTTCTTTTTTTGGAAGCATTATCGGAAGTTCAAGGAGACACTGGTGAAATCGCGAAGAAATAAGATTTGTGAAGAATTTGTCTTGAACGTGTATGTTTCGAGATGCAAATGTAAAATTTGTTGCTCGAACGAAAAAGGCTTTAATAAACTAAGCGATGGTTGCACATATGCGACGATTTCTTCTTCATGTGAAAAATGTAAAATTTGTATTCGAGGAAAGTTTTTCAAATCTTCAGAGGAAATTCGCTTATTTTCCAGGACTATTGAAACGTCCATTGTCCAAGTGATCTCTAGAATCTATCAGAAACATTTATTTCCTATGTATAAAAATTCAATTTCTATTTTTCACACACCTCTTTGCAATACTTTGTTTTTGGAAGTACGTTTATTATTAGTTTTCTCTCGTTTAACTAGCGTAGCTAAGTTTACATTTCTGTTTCTTTGTTTCGACATCACGTCCAGTTGGTTGTTTTCGTTCGAAAAAATTGCACATAAAAACCAGATGCAATTAGACTAATTCAAGGCCTTATTCAAGGCTGCCGTTGTATCTTATCGTGTTTCATACTTTCGCTACCAGCAATTGCGTTACTCTCTGCAAGGTACACATCATAAATGATCGAGCATTCGTGACATTTGCGAACCTTCACTTCGTCACCGTTTTTTCCTCCACTCGTTCACCTTTCGTTGCCTTTATGCCTTCTGCGCGTTGGAAGGGTTTTAATTCAGACAGGTAATATTGCACTATATTCCACAAAACTGTATCTGTGAAAACGCAGTGGTGCATTGAAATTAATTCGGTGATTAATCCTGTAGAATTAAATTCCTGATCTGTTATCCTCGAGTTTGCAGATTTTCACGGTCCTCTTCGTTACAGTTTATACTGTTTCCGTGGTCTTCAGGTGTAAACTGTGTTCTGGTGGATAAGTTTGCCAACGTTTCGCAGGAATTGCAAGCTTCATAGAGGTCATGAAGACGCATTGATACTGATGTGCGTTAAGAGTTTCTCCTTTCGAGGGTTACTTCCCTCGCGAAAGTACAGGACAAACTATGGAAATGATGGAGATAATGAAAAATCGAAAAACAGTAGAAATAATGAAAAATCCTAAGAGCAACTGTAATCGTCGGTAATAGTGAAAGGGTTAAACGTCCAAGAAAATGCTATTCTTAATCGGTATTGACACAACATGTTCGTAATGTATTCAATATAAACACTTTTCGTAATCATTCCGCTTAACACAGCTAACTAACAATCACTTACAAGAAAATTGCCAGTTTCCCAGAGACATTTCTGAAACAACCTCTCTGATCAGCGTGGCAAAACGCCTGTCTGGTAATACACGCAGTATCCGCTTCCCTCTTGCGAACCACCATCGTGAATACATGTTATCATTAACCGATCGTTAGAGGTGTTCAAATGACGAAGTAAGATTGTTCCGATGTGGGAGAACCGGTTCGATTTTCCTAATCCTTCGATAAAAAGCTTCGATAAGATGAATTTAGTTTGTACTGTTATTTGTTCTAGAAAGACACGACACGAGATATTATTCGTATATGATTGCTCAATAGAAATTAGTGATTTATGGAAGTGCCGATCAGGATAGAGAGCTAGTTACCTCGTTAAACGCTCAGAGGATTTTTATACGGAAGCACTGAAATCTTTGAAATTTCATGGGAAATGAGAAACTTAAGAAATTTGCCAAAATGCAATTCCTTGAGATAGGGAGTCAATCAATTTACCATCGATGATTTTTTTAGGATCAGTGATTTTTAAGGAGCACTTGTTAAAAAGCTTAGATGATTTTTGTACAAAATCTCTAAAATCTTTAAAATTTCACGAAAAATTTGTTGAACTAGGAATTGAAGAAGTTGACATAGAGAGTCGATCAATTTACGATCGACGAGGATTTTTCCAGCAAAATCACTGAAAATTCCTTAAAATTTGAAAACTTCGTTTCTTCAAAATTTTATGGAAAATTTGTTGAATTAAAAACTGAAGACACCGGTGCAATTGACAACAATATTCACAATTCACTTTTACCACGACAGCGTTCACTCCAAAACCAAAGAAATAAATATTAATACAAATATCTTACATACGATCCTATCATCTTAATTTGCAAACAATTACAATCTAGCGACGGTAGACAATAAAAAGTGGTAACGATAAATCGTTACGACGAGAATTTCCACAAGTAACAATAGTAACGATAGATCATTACCTTGCCCCTAAAACGGTCACAATTTTGCATACCACAAAAATTACAATAATTTTCAAATTATTATCCACCCTGAGAAACCTTCTCTTTGCTCTCTCATAGTACCTCGAACATTTCTTTATTTCCACTGATAAAAACAAAATCTAGTTAATACCTC